TAATCATATTTTTTTCTAACTAACTATATTTTTGCACCCATGAACCATCCCCACTTTATCTACCCTGCCCCTCCCCACTACCCTTCCCAGCCTCTGGTAACCATCATTCTAGTCTCTGTCTCCACGAGATCAATTGTTTTTAATATTAGCACCCACATATGAGTGAGAACATGCAAGATTTGTCTTTCTGTGCTTGGCTTATTTCACTTAATATAATTTTCTCCGGTTCCATCCATATTGTTTCAAATGGCAGGATTTCATCATTTTTTGTGGCTTTATAATATTCTGTTGTATATACGTACCACAATTTCTTTATCCATTCATCCATTAATGGACACTTAGGTCGATTCCATGTAATCATATTTAAAGAGGACATTAAATATGCTGAAATTATAAAACAACTTTACTTTGTTTTCTTATAGTGATGTTAATAATTATATTGTTAAACCTTCGATTCATCCAGCGTTTATTTTGGACTAAGAAGTCAGTTACAAATCCAACTTTGTGCGTGTAGATGTGTGTGTGTGTATTTTCAGGTGGCCACAGCACCATCCCAGAATTATTAATTGAAAAATGAATCCTTTCCCCGCTGATCTGCAATGCCACCTTTATTGTATGTTAAATTCCTATTTGTATTTGAGCCTAGTTCTAAAAAAAAAAAATCTCTCCTTTTTTAATTGAGTGTTCCATCTTTTGTCATGCCAGACCCATGTTGTTTCAGTAGGGCTAGTTAATTTTATTTTTCATTATTTTCCCGTGTATCTTTGCATGTCTAATTCTCATTTGGTCCACTGCAACCTCCAACTCGTGGGCTTAAGTGATCCTCCCAGCTCAACCTCCAGAGTAGCTGGGACTACAGGTGTGCACCACCCCACCTGGCCAGTTGTTTTACTTTTTTGTAGAGATCAGTCTCACTGTTGCCTCAGCTGGTCCCAAACTCCTAGCCTCAAGCAATTCTCCCTCCTCTGCCTTCCAGTCTTTTGTGCTGGGTCTATGAAGTTTTTTTAAAAGGCATGTGAAGAAATAGTTTCTGGATCTCAGGTCATTGTATTCTTGATCTGTGCTAAGTTTTCCCTCCACCAGGGATTTTTCTTGCCCATTGAAAACTTGCATTACCTCCTTCTACCGCCATCAGTATCCATTTTCCCTTTAATCTAAAAGTTGGTGATTGAAAATGTTAAGTCAAAGCCTCTGAGCATCCTTCTGGCAGGCATTTAGAAAGAGTCTGAAGAGAGATTTCTCCAGAGAACACTTTTTGAAAATTCTGGCAGGATAGTCCTCATATTCCTAACTGAATAATGCCCAAGGCTGAGTCCTCACTATCTCATCTTTGTTCTTTTTACTCTGCACAAGAAATCACTTTAATGGTTTTAAGTAATACTTCCAAATGGGTAAGTTCCGAAGTTCTCTGACCTTATTGAACACCTATTATTTCACTCTATGAAATAGAATTGTCCTATTGAAAGTCTACATTGGTATGTTTTAAAAAAAGTTAATCATAGTCACGCTAACCACCCCCACTTCCTGTCAAGACAGTTCATTTAGGCCACAATGGTTCCAGTTCTTGGGGAATCTGGGATTTTAAATGGGTAATCAGTCAGGACTAACAGATAGGAAGGAAGGCAAAAACCAGATATATGAACTGAGCCAAAATGGAAATAGGATAAAGAATTGAGTGAGGTTAGAAGAGTAGAACCAGAATTTAGCAGTAACATAATTACATTATTTCCACCTGTGGTCATCTGGTTCTAAGTATGATTTGTAGCAAAATGGGTTAAGAACCACACAGGGCAAATCATTTTCATTACTAGACCATGGATCCAGTTTTTAGGTCCATTGACACTATTCCCAAGTGCATTGGCAATTGCAGCTTGGTTAGTACAAGATTAGCCACATTAGGCAATTGGAGTTCAGTAAAGCTGGCGGGCCAAGGCCATGTGTATACCTGAGAGACAGAAAAGACAGGAACAGGGGTGGGGGGTGGGAAGGAAGAACAATGCCAGAAGTCACAGGCCCGTATGTTCCTTTATCTCCAGACCACACTTTACTGACTACTACATCTACAACTCTTCTTACTATAATTATCCGATAATCTCTATTTTCCTGTCTTATACATAGACTTCCTTTTAATTCAACAATACTCAGAATGTATAATTTTTCCATGTAAAAATGCTCATCTATATTTATCTTCACAATACTCAGATGTGAAAAGGCAGATACTGTTATTACTATTTTACAGATGGAGAGACTGAGACATGAGAATCTAAGTAATGTTGCAATGTAATAAGGTAGGTAATAAGGTAATAAGTGGTGGAACAAAGCCCAGAATCTGGGCTTCCTGATTGCAACTCAAAGTTTCTTCTGTTAGACCTACTGTACCATTCAGTAATGTAGGCATAATTTTATGGCTAACAACATTGCAAGGATTACCGTCTCTAAAATAGTGCTTCTGCCCTTCACAGGAAACTACACGCTTCTGGATGGCTGTAAGCACAATGCCATCAGTTAGGGGTACGTGACCTTGATTTTAAAACTGTGCAGCTGAGTTAATCTCACTGGCTTTCTATTCCTATTTAGCCTGTAGCAGTAAGAGGTTTAGAGTAGCTTTCTGAGGGCATATGTTAACCTCAAGTTTGAGTGATGCATGAGAGACTAAATCCAGAGAAAACTTACATGAAAACAACCTGAGAAAACACTGTAGACTGTTGTGAATCACAATGGGGAACAGCGGGTCTGGAGCTGGTGGTCAGATAGCAATTCCTACACGAGAGACCTATGTGTGGTACAGAACTTTTATGATGGAATATCCATCCGGCTTGCAAACACTACATGAATTTAAGACACTTTTGGGTCTGCAGGGTCTGAATCAAAAGGCCAATCACCATGTTAATCAAGTTTACAATACCTTTGACATGAACAAGGTAAGAAATTTTACTTCTCATTTGGTCTGAAAATGCTGTGGTTCTGCATTATTTCCTCTTTTTTTCTTATAAAATAGCCTTAGGTAAAATATGTGCATCCCACTGAACAGAGAGGTCTTCAGACATCCCACAGCTTGTAGGTAAGTGAGTCATTAAACACATTTAGCACTGACGGCGTGAAAATAATTGGGAACTGGCCTCTCTGCTCTTGGAAATGTTCTGCATGTAGGGAGTTATTTTAAAACCAAATTAAATCTCGGCATGGAATTCTAATGCTATCGTTTAAATAAATCTAATAAGTGCAGATTGATTTACAAAGACTGTTTTCAAAGTATTTAATGCATTGGTGACATTTTATAGAAAAGCAAATTACAGGAATCTGCTTTTAAAAGTGGGATTGCATCTAGATTGGCAGATAAAAATGAACACAAATTAGCTAACATGTCTGTACTCAAATCAAAAGTTAGAATGCTTTATAATACTTTTTTTTCATATCTGACCAATTTAGTTTGTGGAAAATCAAAACAACTTATGGTTTTAAATTCAGACCAATTTTAGTTTCTAAAGATTGTTATTCAACTATTGTCTTGAATTTACTCATTCCTGAGGAGATACAGTACATTTAATTTCATTTCTTGAAAAAATACAAAGATGTACAGAGAAAGGAAGAAATGGAATAGAAAAAATGAGACAAAAATTAACAATCTGACATACCAGGCTCAAGTTCTGCCTGGATTTCCTTGTGTATTTCAGTTACTTTACCTATAGATTTGTGTATTTCAAAATGTGCAGATGCTGACTAGAATAAAAGGGAAGGTGGAAAATACTATGAATAGAAAAAATAGATGACTACAGAAGGCTGTGCAAGTGATAATAGAAGAGAAAGTAGGGATAACTAATTGAATAAAATCTTTAAAAAGACTGGCTGACTATTGTATGGAATTTAGCACAATCCTTTGATCCCTTTTCCATAGCCAAGAAACAGGCTTAAAAGAAGGTAACAGCCAGGAACTGGGGAAAATTAAACCTGTGCAAAATTAACTGCTATTTTAATCCTGATAGCAATGTTGGGAATAAATTTCTTTTAGGACATTGTCTTTTGTGCTTTATTATCAAACACAAGTTCAGCACTGCCTGTTTAGCATGACAGTGTTTTCTTCCTCATAAATTTTATTTAGTGTAGGTGCAAGTAAAGGAGATCTGCCCCCAAGGAGCTTACAAATCAGTGGGAAAATGAAGCTGATTCTGCTTTTGTTCTTAACCCTGTAATCTGTTCCAGATACTATGAGCATGTCGTCATGTTGTCTCTATTTTCTTGTAGTATGTATCTCTCAGCTCTCAAATTCGTTTCTCTCTTCTCTCTTTCTTTCTCTCTCTTTTTCTATGTTTCACTCTTTTGAGTGGCTGCTGCTGTCCCACTGTGCCTGCTGTAAGCAGCCCAGTTTCAGGATGGAAG